AAAGCCTGGACAAGAATAAGCAAGTGGCCCATCTGTTGGCGAAACCAGAACTAAAAATTAATTTCTCTAAAAGCCGAAGGCAAATTGGATTGGAATTAGGATCGTTAACTAGAACAGAAAGATTTTTATGAATGTGAAATGCCTCTAGAAAATTCAGTTCTCCAATGGAAGATGTTTTTTTGAATAATTTTGGCAGCAGAAAAAAATTGAAAGTGTGATTTTCGGAACCAACAATGTTGAGCAACAGAAGACCTCTGTGTTTCCTTTTTTCTAACATATGCCTCATGTCCTTTGATGCGAAATTTTAAGGCTCTCTTAGTTTGGCCAATGTAAATTAAACCACACTGGCAAGGAATCCTATTAAATACCCCAGGAATTCATATCCGGAATGGGGTCCTTGAGTATAGAAGTTGGAATTTTATTGATGGGAGAAAAAAAACAACCCGAAAGTTAAATTTCTGAAAAATATGTCCAACTTTATAGCTAATTGATGGAAAGAAGGGAATGACAACAGAATTTTTATAATCTCCTAAAATTAGAGTGTGGCTTTTAGTGTGTGAGATGAGAATTTTTAACTGCTTGATTAATAATGTTGGGTGAAAAGCCCCTGTCAATAGCTATTGCTTTTAAATAATTTAGTTCTTCATCAAGGGCTAGTTTGGAGGAGCAAAACTTGAAGAGCACGGAAAACATAGGAAAAAATGAAGCTAACTTTTGTTTAGTCGGATGACATGATTAAGTGTGGTGGAAGGCAGTGTGGTGGATACTTTTTTGCAATTTTCAAGTTATGTTTATGTTTTGTACATTTGGATATTGGCTTTGGCTTGTCTGATTTCATGCATTTTGCTTACAAACGTTTTGTTTTCTATTCATTTCAGTGAGGGATTTTTTTCTGCTGTTTTGTGTGTAACTTTATTATTGCTCAGTTAATTTAGTTTGATTTTCTGCATTGTTTATCATGCCTTCATCCGTTAATCGTTTCACTAAATTACGCCTGAAACGGCAAAATTCCTGAATCATCTTGACTTTTTACTTAAATGTAAATGTAAAAAATTGATCCCCAATTTTATTCAAATCAAATCTAATCAAAAACTTTCGAGTCGCGTTTCAAGAATTCTGTTAAATTGCAAGCTTGCCTTACTTCGGTCCGTGGTAAGGGATACACGTCAATAATTGTCCAAAGTTGAACATGAACTCTATAAGCTTCATCTGGAACTCGCTAAAACATATCCAAAATTCACTGCCCTTGAACAAAAGTCTTGGTCTAGAACGGAGAATGCAGTTAACCGTCATAAAAACACCCTTGCAGTTAAATTCGAAATACTTCTTTTACAGTCTTCCAGTTCAAGTAGTTCAAAAAATCTTCCCATTGTAAACATCAAGCCAATAGTTAATATTTCTAATGTTAGTCTTTCAGAAGAACAAGAGAGAATTCTAAAATATAATTTTAACTTCTCACAAACCTGTAAAACCCTCGATTCCAAAGATTTTGGCTCCTATCGAAAAAAGCTTTCAAGTTCAGTAAAGTTTCAGATTCACAGAAAGAAAAATGATTAGGCATCTTATCGCTCATAATGTGAAATTCAATAATAAACCTTTGAAACCAAATCTAACTGCGAGAGAAAGAGCTACAATGCGTGAATTCATTTTTCTAAACCCGGATATTATCATTTCAAAGGCCGACAAAGGTGGCCAGTAGTCGTCATGGATAAGAACACTTACATCGATGGTGTCACTAAACTCTTAAACGAAGGACCATATAATCCGATCCCTAAAGATCCTTCACCTTCGGACTTATCCAAAATAAAAACTGCGATCAAATCTTCGCAAATCATTTCAAGCAACTTAAAACATTCGCTTATTACCATCTGTTGCGAATTGTGCCAGATTATATGCTCTTCCAAAATTCGTAAAAAGTGGTATTCCTTTCCGCCCTATTGTATCAAATTTAGCTACTGCCTCGTATCCTTTAGCTAATATTTAGTTTCTAGATTTTCCACTCTATTAGACAATAACATTTACACCAATAAAAAACTCAATAGAGTTTGTAAAAAAGGTTAAAAACATTTCTCCTAGTAAATTTACTCATGGTTTTCTTTTGATGTAAAATCATTATTCACCAATGTCCCGGTGGAGGGTGCATTAAGATGTCTAGAAACCAGACTTCGCGAATTTCATTTTCTTTGCTCGAAATTGATGAGCTAATTTCTCTCACTCAACTCTGTTTGAAACAAACACATTTTGTTTTCCAAAATAAATATTACAAGCAAACTGAGGGATTAGCCATGGGAAAGTCCCCTCAGTCCCATCCTGGCTGATATCTACATGCATTATTATGAATCAAAATTGTTTGAAAACTTTAAACTTCCCGGCATGGTTCCGCTATAGACGATACTTTTACCCTGTTTGAAGGTAATAAAGATGATTTAAATAAAGTTCTTTCAACAATTAATTCTATTGATCCTGCTATTCAGTTCACTTTTGAACTTGAGACTTGCAATTCTCTTCCGTTTCTCGACATTCTGGTCACACATAACACATCCAATTCAGTACTACAGTTTACCGTAAACCTTCATCGGTTTGCCTTCCACCACACTTTTAAATCATGTCATCCGACTACTAAACAAAGTTAGCTTCATTTTATTCCTATGTTTTCCGTGCTCTTCAAGTTTGCTCCTCCAAACTAGCCCTTGATGAAGAAGAACTAAATTATTTAAAAGCAATAGCTATTGACAGGGGCTTTCCACCCAACATTATTAATCAAGCAGTTAAAAAATTCTCATCTCAACACACTAAAAGCCACACTCTAATTTTAGGAGATTATAAAAATTCTGTTGTCATTCCCTTCTTTCCATCAATTAGCTATAAAGTTGCACATATTTTGCAGAAATTTAACTTTCGGGTTGTTTTTTCTCCCATCAATAAAATTCCAACTTCTATACTCAAGGACCCCCTTCCGGATATGAATTCCTGGGGTATTTATAGGATTCCTTGCCAGTGTGGTTTAATTTACATTGGCCAAACTAAGAGAGCCTTAAAATTTCGCGCGTCAAAGAACATGAGGCATATGTTAGAAAAAAGGAAACACAGAGGTCTTCTGCTGCTCAACATTGTTGGTCCGAAAATCACATTTTCAATTTTCTGCTGCCAAAATTATTCAAAAAACATCTTCCATTGGAGAACTGGATTTTCTAGAAGCATTTCACATTCATAAAAAAAATCTTTCTGTTCTAGTTAACGATCCTAATTCCAATCCAAATTGCCTTCGGCTTTTAGAAGAATTATGTTTTAGTTCTGGTTTCGCCAACAGATGGCACCACTTGCTTATTCTTGTCCAGGCTTTCTTATCTTATCTAATCATTATTTCCTATCTTGTTCATTTGCGGTTTTGCAGCTGAAGATGATGGTTCGGTAAAACCATCGAAACTAGTCCTGTGAAAATTTTGTAGGTATAACGCTGATTTTTGTTGTTTGACTTCTGAATTGATATTATTTATCAACAGTCAGTACTAGTTATTTACAGAAATGGTTTCCTAAGGGAGGAGTTACTAGAAGATTCGCAACATTGAAAAAATTTAAGATAAGAATTAAATTAAGAAGTGTCCTGCTACAAAAATGAGAGCCCCACGATAAAAAGCAACAAAGCTCATGCACTCAGTGCAGATCACACTCAAAAAATAAAATGCAATCTTATTTGGGTATCTATTAAAATGTTAACAAATAAAACAAGAAACCACAAAATATGATTTCATAAGTGGATATATACAGATTGACTATAAACATTAAGATTGCTTCAAATATAGGACTTCTGCAGTATGTGTGATGAGCCTAATACATGATATCATGAGATGAAAAAAATGTTCTAAATTTTAAAATAGCTAGGAATCCCCAAAAAGACTTCATGCATGATTTACCAAATCAAATTTCACAATTACATAATATGCATTTCAATCACTTACTTCAACAATTATTATATTGATTAGGAAACAATAAGACAGTGGGAACTTTTTTAAGAGCATTGGGCAATCCAAATTTCTTGCACAGATGTTATTAGAGCCCAAGTTTTTATTTTTAATCATCTAGGAGTAGTTCTCAACATTTTTTCCAAGATCATCATTTGCCCTTTCTTTCCAAAACTTGAAAAATACACACATATGTGTGTGTGTGTGCATATACATTTATATTATAGATATTATATGTGTGTGTATATATATTTAGATTACTTTTAAATGTATTTTACAAAATAAACAATGAAAAGTACAGAAAATGTTGGTAAATACAAAACTTTACCATATATGTTAAATCTACCAGAATGAATGAAGCAATCGTTTTTGGGCATTATAAGTAGTGCCAATTGCAAGAACTTTTAAACTTTGAGAATTGCAAAAACTAATATTTACAATTTCTGAGCTATCTGATTCCAGTAAGCAATTAGGGGGAATAGAATCTCATGTTTATTTCTGAATAATGATTTACCCTTTTTATTTTGCAGAATTACATAAATGTTTTGGAAACTGCAATCTTTGAATAGCTTAAAAAATCAAACATATCAAAAACTGTAAAAAAGAACTCTATGGTAACCTTTTTAAATGTGTATGGCAAAATTCATTAAGCTTCAAGAGGTTTTTTTTTTTTTTTTTTTTTTTGGGGGGGGGGGTCTTTAACTCTGATTAAATTGATTTGAAAAGATTTATAGCAATAAAATTTTCAGATTCTATACTTCAAACACAAAGCTAAAAATTTTAAAGCAAATAGTTAAGGTTTTGAATTTCTAATAACAGTAGCTATTTCATCCATTAGATCAACAGTGACAAAAAGCACTTCAATAATAATAAATATGTAGATGTTAAGATTACAGAAATATAAACATAACTGCACAGAATTACTATTGTAAGTAGCATAAAATCTTGAAAGAGTTTGATGTCTCACAGTATAAAACTGAAATTAAAATGATAAACTAATTAAATATTTTATTATAACAGAATATGAAATAAGATAAATTACCAGTCATCCGGTTTTGTGGCTGTAGGATCTGGAATCCTAAAAATAAAAAAAAGATTTGATAAAACCTGAACACAAGAAATCAAAATTGTAATGTCGCTGTGGCAGTAAAACTTAAATATTTTATTCTACAGGATACTCAATAATGGTGATTACAAGTTTGTTTCCATTAAATACTGATCCTTGCCATGCACAACTCCACGTAAAGTTTCTCAGATTAAGGTACAGCATTTCAATAAGAACTTTAACATTGTGGATAGGAAGTTCCTACAGATATAAAGTACATTTTTTCATACATCAGTCATAAGGCAAAAATTTGGATTACTAAAATATTTGCTATTAATTTTTAAGTAAACAGGTAAAAAATCCGTATCTTTGTATTCAAAATTTGTATAAAATAAATTCACAGTATAAAATAAATTTACCAAGCTGAATCATTTTTCTATGCAGCTTAAATCAAAATTAAGCATTTTCTAAAATTTAAGACACCACTACTTGTTACGGAAATTAGAAGTTTTATATCACACATTAAGTTACTGATTAAGACTATAGTCATATAAGGTACATATTGTTCATAAATGTACGTGTATGCAAGGAAAGGAACTGGTTTTTCAGTACTAATGTATTATCCTGTCGACCGTCGGCAGAAATTTTGACAATGATCACCAATCATTACAGCAGAATTTTAAAGGTTACAGCCAAACATAATTGAGTCTAAATTGCACTACATGGACAGTTGACAGCATAATATGCAAGTACCAATTTTTCTCTTAACAAATCTGCTGTGTTTACAGTTGATTTGAAAATGAAACATGAAATAGGATGAAATAGGATGCTATCATATTTTATTACATGTGATTATAGCAGTAAAATGATGACTACTGACAAATGCAAAATAGCACGTCTTTAATCAAGTGAAGGGATAAGAATGCTCACATTATTTTTATCATGTCAAAGTGGAATGACAATGAACAAACAAGCAAGTTTTCCTCAGAACCATCCCAGTGTTCTTTTCCAGTGATAGATATGACAATTTAATTAACATTTTGAATGAGTATGCCATAGTCAGTCTCAAAATTCACCAGCTTTGAATCTTGTTCAGTGAGAATATCATGCAATTTTTTACAATTATCTTTGTAATGTACAATAATTGATTTACTGGCTGGATGTGGACAGTCATTGGGAACAGTATAAAAAAATTAAGACTTTAAATTTACAGAATCATCTTGTTCTACTGCTGAAACTCTTCTCAGAAAATTCACCTTATTCTGCGAGATATTTTAATGAAAACAAATGCCCTAGATCAAATTTAAAGAAATAAAGCCTATAATACTTTTTTTCAAACATCTAGTACAAACTAGAGACAGGACAGTTATAAAATATGAAAGGAGAAAAAATTACTTTTCTCTTTCATCCCAATCAGTAGGTTTGATATCAGTTGGATCATCTATCTCAGCTTCAGGATTGACAGGTGGACTAGAGTACGAGTGAGAAATGAATAAATTATAGATATGTATAAATCAAAAATGAAAACCAAGTTACCAAGTTATAATCTGTCAACAAAGAGTTTACAAATTTATTACAGAGTTGACATAAAAAACATTTTTTTATTTCTGTGGGGGGTACTACAGATTTGAGATTAAACAATCCCACAACACTAATTATATTAACATAACTTATGAGTTATTTAAGATAAAATAACCAAAAAAAGTGTCCAATATTTACTTACTTAAAGTCATCTAAAAGATTACCCTTATGGACACTTTGTTTATCCATAAGAACTTCAAACTTGTTATCAGGATTAATTACTGAAAAAAAAAGTCCATAAGATGAAACAGACAAAATTTTAAAACAAGCAAATTACTAACAGATAATAATAATAAAACTTACTTAAGGTAAATAAATGTGGTTTCTTATCCTTAAAAACATCATCCAATTTAGGAACTGAAGTGGCACGCTTCCAGTGCTTTTCTTCAAAACTACCATTTTTAGGATTTCTGTGTCTAAAGATAAAGTGCAACTAAAAAAAAATAATAATAAAAATAAATTATGCCGTTATTTTTTAATTTTTTTAATATATTAATATTTATTTAGAACATTATGGAATATTTATTTGGAACATGCATAAAATGCATGTATATTTAAAATATAACACTAATATTCAATATTTAAAATTCCCTTAATCTTTACATGTGGATTCCAGGTATTTATATAAAATTATTCCTTAAAAAAATAATTTCCAAGTGACAATTTATGAGATGGATTTTTAATTATATTAAAACTTATCTAAAGCGTTTCTACTCTAAATTTAGAAACAATACCTAGGGCTGACTATGAAAATTGTAAAAATTACAATCCTAAGAAAAAGGCAACACACAAAGCATCAAATAAGCTTTTAAATGCTTTTCAAATCAACTGATGCATACCTACTATTACAATTTAAATATGTAGATTATAAATACGTGCATATATTAGCAAGAAAAAAAATGTCCTTGAATACTAAAAACTGTTCATTTTATATTACAAAAGAGGAAAACCATAAAAACAACACGCAGTCGGTCAAACCAGCAATTACCAGTGCTTAGCAGAGCCTGTTCATCATTTTTAATATGTTAATTTGCATAATTGATAAAACTTTTAAATATGACCTTAACCGCTTCCCTCACAAATGTTTTTTGAAAAATCTTGCAAAAAATCGTCACATTTTTTTATTTTACAATTAAATACAACGAAACGAAACAAATCAAAATATGTAGGTTTTAAGTTGAATTTTTAATTTTTTTGAAGGTGTAAAAGCATTTAGTTTAAATATTAGTTTACTATTGCAAGTTATCTCGAGCAAACGAAAAAAGTTAAATATTAGTCTTTGTATGATAGTTTTTGAAACAAGAGATAACACAAAGTGATACCTGACATTCTACACTCATACTTGCTAACCTTTGACACTCAAAAATCAGGAAATTTTTTTAAAAAATCAGATTTTTCACAATGTTAAAAAGACATTTTAAATGATAAAAATATAGTTTTTAATAATGAATTATCTTTAAATAGTAATTAATTCTTAAATGCAAGCAACACAAAAATACCTTACACATGAAAAAAATTTTTATTACTTGCATCGTTTCAGAAAACAACAACAACACACAAAAAAAAAAAAAAAAAAAAAAAAAAAAAGACACTTTAATCAGTTTTCGTACAAATGTTATAAACATTGGCAGATTTTGCTTTCTTTAAGAAAGAAACTTCATAATTTTGTTCATAGCAATTGCGAGTAGGCCTGCTTTCGCTAATAAAAGTTTTTCTAATGTGTCATCGCTAATATTAGATCTAAATTTAGTCCTCATTTTCTCAACAACACTGAAAATCCTCTCACACTCTGCATTACTATGGAGAACTGTCAAGATGGCCAACATAATCCTAGACAGTTCACTATATTTTAAAATTCCATCAGCACCTTTCAGTTTTCCAATTAAACTCCACTGGGTGTCAATCCTAGCTGATTTTATAACTTCATTTAAGTTTTCTAATTGTAAACTGCTGTTATGCAGCTGTTGGAACTGTTTCAATTTTCCCTTCCTTTTAGAACTTTTTTCAAGATAGTAATAAATATCAACAATGTGTTCATCCACATTTATTGGTAAAGAAGCTGCCCCTTTTTCAGCTGCTAAATCTAAGAGGTGACAGGTGCACCTCATAATCTACGAATCTGAATTTTCCTTTCTAAGATGCCTGCAACACCAGTCTTCAAGCCTACCAATACTGGTGCATTATTGGCACCAAGTGCTAAGCAATTATCCAGAGGGTATGCATTTTCTTTTAAACTTTTAATAATTAGCTGTGCTATACTAAAGCCTGTCAAATGTCCTTCTAAAGTGGAAACAAAATAAACTGAACTCAGTTTCTGAAGACTCTGGATTAAAAAAAAGGACAACAATTGGATACAGTCTTGAATTGGTATTGTTGCTTCCATCCATAGAGAGGCAGAACGAAGCTGTTTTAATGCAAGCAATAACTGAAGATTTATTTTTCAAACTCATTTCTTTAACAATTGCACCTGTTTTGGTTCTTGCACTTGAGTATTTATTAGCGATTTTACTATCGGGAAACATTTTTCTAAATAAAGCTGCAGCGTGATCCGATGCTTTCAGTGGCAGGTTGTGCTCCAGTAAAAAGGCAGAGAACAGACATTCTGCATTAATAACTTTTTGGTCCTCTGTTTCGGAAGAAAAATTTAATTTTCCGTTTTTTTTTCAAAACAACTCCTGTTGTCCTTCTGTTTTTGTGTACGCACATGTTTGAGAACATCCGCCCTTCCACCATGCAAAATCGAAAAATCGCAACGACAGGCGGTACGCATCGTAAATTTATTATATTTCCTTGAGGAAATAATGGAAGGAAAGTCAACTGTGTACGATTTTTGAAACGTACACGAGTATTTTACCTTTCACGCAGACATAATAAAAGATGATAATTTCTAAAACTATTTCCCGAAGGCACATATACTCACACAACTCAGGACAAAATGAACAAATTAACTAAAGAGCATCCAAATAACAGCTTGCTTTGTCCTCATTGGCTAATATATGCCAGATGACACGCAGTGAAGCTCGATACCCATTGGAGAACTGGAGAACGATGTTTCTGGATACGTATGTGCTCTCACTCACAAAGCAGAAGTTATCTGATTCGCAAGGTTTTGTTTTAGATATAATCTAGAGAAAATTCAATTGCTTTCAAACGTCCAAAATCTTTTTTTTTTTTTTTTTTTTTTTTTTTTGTGTGTGTTCAGATAACAAAGTTTATTAAGCCAAGTTCCATAAAAATCGTGAGAAATTTTAAGAATAAGAAAAATTCGGGAGAAATATATTGTAAATTGGGTTGGCGGGACAGCGGACAAAAATCGGGAGAGTTGGCAACTCTGTACACTGGTATCCGGTCTCTTTTCTTGCTGGCTTACCGATGGAATCTCTTTCACGGGAGCACAGAGTACACTGTCTTGTTGGATTTGACTTTCCACCCCCCCCCTAATTTTTTTCCCACCTCTTCATAAATCTGAAAAATCATCACTTTTGCTATCTTGCATCATTGCCATTATTTTATTTTTTCCAACGTATGTATTCTTCATTAAACATTACCAATCCACAAGCCAACATTTACTATACAATAGGGAAACATGTGACCAGTCTCCAAAAGAACCGCGCAACCATCAAAATTTGGCAAACTGCCAATCAAAGCTGAATATTTCCTTTCATTTCCTCCAGGCCAAGCAAAACCGTGATAAAACAAATCATACTAACAAATTCTGCTTCGCCTGAGTTTTCACGGAATAATAATTAACTGCAATATATACGAACCCGAGATAACTCGGGATAATCAGGCAAGCGGTTAATATCACTTATGAACTTTCTAAAAAGAATGTGTAAATTTCAAATTCCATTTTGATTTTAAATATCTATGTCAAATAGAAGTTGAAGCAATAGATATAAAGCTTTTCACGATACTTACTATAAATATAACATACAATAAAAAAAAAAAATGTCATAAGGCCCGGTGGCACAGTGGCTAGCGCATAGCGCAGCAGCACCACAGGTCCAGGGTTCGATTCCCGGGCTGGGCAAGGTCGACTCAGCCTTTCATCCCTTGATTTCCATCACTTGGGTTGATAAAATGAGTACCAAGTTCGCTTGAGGACTAAACACTGGGGGTCCTGCGACAAGCTGACCACTTGTTCAGGGCATATGCTTACGCATCATGGGGCCCACTGTCAAGAAAGCAGATTTCGGGCACTGCAGGCCTTGGCCCATTAGGGCTGTTATGCCACTGAGTTTAGTTTTAATTTTTACAAAAATGTTATACAAACCTTTGAAAGTGAGTACAAAATTAGCATTTTTTTCCACCATTGCCTTTCTACGTGTAAACAAAATATATGTAAGTCTCTAATAAATCAGACTGGATCGAATGTAAAGTAATAAACAGAGGAGCATTATTCCACACAACGTTTATTGACGAACACCAAAGACGAACTGATACATATACATAATTATGACATCACAGTTTCTTTTTACAAAATAACACTACCGCCATCTATTGGCAATCTAAGGATACAAAATCCTAAACTTAACACCGTGCAGCTAGTTAATATCAATTAGATTTATTAATAACATCTGAATTTTAAATTATTTAGTATTTTAGTACTTTTAAATCCCTAAGTTGACATATACACTGAAGAGCAAAACAGTATGACCACCTACTCAATAATGTATTGCACAACCTTTGACCTGCAAAATAGCTGCAAGTCACCTTGGCATGGATGCCACAAGTTCTTGGTAGATGACTGAGAGAGGTTGTGCCAAATGTCTAAGCAGCTGTTACGCAAAGTCGAGATATTCTGACATGGTGGAAGCTCTGAATTGCCACTCTATGACATATTAAATATGCTCTGTCGGGTTAAGATCCAGCGAGTTAGGTTGCCAGGACATTAATTGGAATTCATCCTTATGCTTCCCGAAACACTCCAACACAATTCCCGGTCTTGTGACATAGGCATTGTCCTGCTGGAAGATTCTATTTCCAGTTTGGAAGACAGACACCATGTAAAGGTGCTATTGAACCACAGTTTACTGCTACCAGCCTGTGTATTACCTCCTGTACGGGAGGGGGGGGAGGAAATTTTTCCGTTTGGTAGAAGGGGTACCTTGACACGACTTGTGACAGCTGAATGAGAAATCATGATTAATCCAACCAAGCAACTGTCTCCCATTTGTTCATGGTCCAGTGATGCTTTGTCAACAGAGGCATGCGAGAGTGGGATGTCTGCTGCACAGTCCCATACTTAACAGTGTTTACTGAACTGTGTGTTCCAAAACACTTGCATGCAGGCGTGCACTGTACTGAGCTGTCAGCTGAGCCACTGCTTTACCGATTTTGCACCGACCAAGCAGGACAATCTCCAATGTCCTTTTTTTTTTGATGACATGTAGATGTCCAACACCTTGGCATCTATGCAGTTTCACCATCATCAAGCTACTATGGAAAATATTAACAACGGAAGATTGTGAACAACTACCAGTCATGCAGTTTTGAAGATGATCATTCCAAGTCTTCAGGCCATTTACAATCTGTCCATTTTCAAATTGGCTTAGAGCCCATCCCTCGCAAAAATGAATGCAAGAATGATTCTTTATCTTCTCCAGCAGCAGCTGAATACCATTGAAACTTAACCACCTGCGCTCCACGTCATCCAGACAAGTTAACTGAAAAATACGGAGATGGCCATAATGCTTTGTCTTCATCAGTATAACACAGTGAAGCTAGTTTCTCTTAGAAAACCCTCGATGAAGGCATTCCTCTCCTTATGTAGACAGCACTTGTGTGCTTTGTTGTATTCAAATAACCATTTCAACTATTTAATTTACAAAAAAAAAAAAAAAAAAAAAATTGAAAAATGGTTTAAAGATCTCATGCCATATTAAATGATTACACACATATCAAATTATAACTGGAAGCTAGTTATTAACTAACGTTGCATTAAAATAAATTAATGAAGATCTTGTGTCTCATGCTGTGAAGATCACACTGATGATAAATGGCATTATATTAATGCAACATAAATGGCCCAAAAATTTTAGAAAGACTCATTTAAAGATCTTTTCTTACATCAAAAATTATATTTCGCAGGTCTGAAAGCCTTAAAATATATTTAAGCTAGAAATTAGGGATACTCCCAAGCTTACAAAATCATGTATTTATCTCAAACTGTAATATAATCCATTACTAATTTAAGTAATTTAGAAATAAATTTGAATAATTCAATGCACAGATGCTATTTTTAATTCTTTCTAAACAATAATGATGGAGATGGCATTTTGAAAAAAATTCTTAATTGCTCATTCATCTCTATTTGCATTAACAAAAATGTTTCTCCCTTAACTAAACAATTGTCAAGAAATGGTCAGTGCTTTAAAAATAGATCAGCTTTTGTGATCTGGTCCTCATACTAGTATAACAAATAGCCTTCTTTCTTTCAGTACCGTTGAAAGATAACATCACAGCTTCTTCATAAAGAATCAAGGCCAATTCATTAGGAAATATCAAATCTTTTCATTAGTTGAACAAGAAACAGAAAGAAAATTTCAATAATCTGGAACAAAATTTTGGAGTTTCATCTTTTCAGTACAAAGCTAGATACAGAGCTTATTTTTGTTTTAAAAAATTAGTAGAAGGATGCATAGTAATGGTATGTTGCATACTTTATGGTCATTTCCACATTTATCCGGACCAAACATAAGTGTATATGGTGTTTTATCATGGAAGCTACGCAAATCCATGTCTGGTACTTGAGACAGAAGCTTTAGATATGCCCCTCCACATTCCTGACCATTTTGGAAACGTACTTCATACCTAAGATGAAACCAGATATGAGTTAACACGTATAACAGAACAAAAAGAAAGCAAACTTTAAAAAATGTAAGAACAAAAACTGAACAATTTAATTCAAACTTATTATATGTTTAAAAGTATTTACAGAAGAATCAACATAAAAAAGGAAAAAAAAAAAAAGATTCCAAGTTAGAAGAGCTATTAAAATTATAGTCTTTTTTCAATATTGCTGTATGCAGATTTGAATATAAGAAGCTGCAAAACAAAGATTAATCATGTTTCTCAAAGTAAGTTGCCCTATTACCTAGCAAAATGTGGAACTTCATCTTTTTACTATACATATAATTGATTTACATTCTACCTCTCAGATTTGCAATTAAATAACCTGCTACTGCATCCTCCTGTTCATATTCAGAAATGGCAAAATATTCAAAACAATGTAAAATTATTTCTTCTGATTATTTTTAATTACTGTATTGACATTCATGAAAGCATATGCCTATATAAGCAAATTCAATAAAAAAAATTTTATATAATTAGAAAAAACCAAGTATATAATAATTCAAGAACATTACATTTTAAATGTATGTTCTAGTACATTCAGGGCTACAGCCTAGTTACGGCAAAATATTCTGACCCATGCCCTTCACTATTGTGATGAAATGTTATGCTTTTTATGTACTTTTCATATTCAAAGCAACAAGATATTTGGTTAAAAAAAATCTTTTCAAGATGTTAACAAGCTATTGAGTGGTATATATAATGAACGCAAACTTGAAAGCAGTAAATATATTTTAAATAAGCAAAAAAGTTTAAAAAAAAAAAAAAAACCTACAAGCAAAAAAGCTAATTTTTTTAGCTCTAAAAAAATTGTATCTTTCTTTAATAAAGGTAGATTCCACCAGCAATAATTTCAATTATCATTAACTTGAAATGGTAACAGACAAACTGATATAATTGAAAATAACAAAAACCTGATCATTAAAAGTAGCAAAATTTGTATGTCAGACTGGTACTTGCACAAATTGTGCTGCCATTCTTGTGCTATCCAATATCCCAAGAGTTATTCTGCAAGAGGATAATGTTCATCGCCATATCATTGCTATCATCCAATATACTCTACATAGCATACACATGTTGCCTTGGTCTACGAGATCATCTAATCTTTGTCCCATCAAGCAAGTGTGGAACAAGACTAAATGGCAAATTCAGCATCATCTACAACCAGCATGGATTATAGTTGATTTGAGTGACCAGGTGCAACAAGCATGGAACTCCTTCCGCATAAAATGACATACAACACCTATATAACAATGCACATTTGCATGTTTGCATTCAACATGGTGGCAACTATAGCAGTTGTTAATGTACCCTTATTTTACATTTGGAATGGCTCTTCTTGAGCATAATTGCTTCTTGACCATCTCTCAGATGCAGAAAAGGAACAAAGGTAATTTTAAAAAAAAGACATGCAGATTGTACTGATTACACTATGAAATTCATGTTAAGAATGTGTTTCTCAGGAGCTAAGTGTTTACTTAGTCATTATATCTTTTATGCATCATCACTCTGTCTTCATGTATCGACTTCTTCATGAATCAGCATTCATCGTTACATATCTAAGTTATTAAAATGATATCATATGTGCACATACATGCCCATATATATATATATATATTGCACCCTGAATGTTAAAAACTACTGTGATTACAGGTACATTATATTCTAATAACTTTTTTTTTTTTTTTTTTTTTCATGAAAAGAAGATAATTTAGTTTTTTCTCATAATTAGGAATCGTAGAAAGCAATGGAACATCACATAAAAAAGTCTAACATTAGGCACTGGAAAAATGCATACTTGGAAAAGTTAGCTGCTGGGGAAATCATTTGAATTTTACATCAACTTCCTGTTTCAGAAATTAACAGTTATGTATACAATTTTAGATAACTTCTTAAAACGACATATATTATTTTTGAAAATGACTTCTGAAAAACAGCATGACAATCAAACATTTTCAAAATTTCAATCTAGCTGAAATCTGCTAGAGCTACAGTCTACATATTATTTATCCAACATGGATCTCATGACCATCAATAACAGTTGATCTTGCATGACATTTACACTAAATCCTTGAAATGTGGATCTGATATTAGCAAGTTATAATGTTGATTATAAAATATTGCTATTTTGCAAACAGAACAAAATTGATTGCTAATGAAATTTGAATAATGATCCATTAAATTCTGTTTAAATTATATTTCAATTCTAATTGAGTAATATGAAATACAGATGAAAATATTAATTATTGCACTTTAGCAATTATTCCTAGATTACATACGCAAATTTAAGCAACTATGTAAAATAATTTTAACTATAAATGTACTAATAGTTATTGATTAAAGAGAAAACTTAATATCATGTGATTAAATATAAAAGTACATAAATCAGTGCTTAAAAACAAAATAATACTACACGACTTAGCAAATAAAATGCTTACTGAAGTATAAAAGGCTTATTATCAAATAAGAAAGGTTTATCTAATCTTGAAGCAATGGCATGGTGATGAGCTTTCGACTGAAATTAGAAATAAAAGCTATTAGACTTTAAAAAATATTAACAAAGAATGTAAACTATCTAATTTTTTATAAAATTTACTAAAAATTCAATTTAAATACCTTAAGCACAAGACCTAAATCTCCATTCAAACCATTCTTTTCAGCTTCTTCAATAGCCCATTTTCCTAAATAAGCAGCACAAATTTTAAAACTGTGCAATATGAAAACCATAATATATTTTATTACAATAACTTCAGAATGTTTAAAAATAGCATGTTTAAAGAGGAGGTGAGAGAAAAATGAAAATAGTTCAAAGCCAAATATTTATAACAAACCTACAAGTTAAAAAAATTAATCTCCAGAAATTCAATCTATACAGCATAAAATTACATTTTTAAAATGACCTGTTCAAATTCTAAGAGAAATGTTTATTATGACATTATTCCCTTCCAAATTAATCTCATACAGGATTTTGCACTTATTCAATACACAAAAGCAGTTATTGAAAATGAAGCTGCCCCCCCCCAGAATCACTAGCATGTGAAACAAAACTGAAAATAATATGAAAGATATATAAAATTTCTCTGCTAAAAAAGTTAATAAATATTTCAGTAATTGATCTATGTTACACACCTCTTTACATTAGCATCATTTTATATAAATGACTACCACTGTAACTAATAGAAGCTACCAATTCTAAATCTGATCTCAATTCTGACATTTTTTACTTTCAAATTACCTAATTAATAAAAAACTTCCTATTTCATTTCAAAATTTTTATATAAATATTTTTCTTTCTTAAAGACGGTTCATATTCTAATGGCTAAAGTACTGTTACATTCTTGTATGGGGTTCGTGTGATTTGGAGTGATTGACGACAACACTTAATGAAGAATCAGACACAATTTATTTACCCAGTATTACTCAGGCCAGCTCAAAAATCATGTTTACAGTCGTCAAATATCTATTATAAACATGCTGAAAAAATCAGCGACACAGCCTTCACAGGTTATAACAGTCAACACCCACAAAGCACCAGAGTACAGTTCCAACTCAGTTCAGTCATTCTTGGAACTCAATGTACTCTCGAGACTCCAGCCTTCAGGCTATAATGGTGAAGACAGCTTCATGTCAAAGCACCAGAGTACAGCTCCTGACTCGGTTCAGTCATTCTCAGAACTCTATCTACTCTCGAGACTCTCCACGCTATAACTTGTGATGCACTCGATGATAAGCACTACAGTATAGCTCTCAACTTGGTTTGGTCTTTCTCGGAGTTCAATACATTCAAGATAAAACTCGACGAGGCACTAACTAGCGATCAATTCGACAGACTGAAGATCAACTCGCTGCTAGACTACAAAACACTCACCGGCTGAAGGCCCGTCCACACGACTACACTTGAAATGTAGCTGACGAACATGCTTTTATGTTACCAGCGAAAAAGCGTCCAAATGAGTACGCTTGCAAAGAGTGAATTTAACCAATAGAATTATTTTATGCAAAAATAATGTGGTGCTGTAATATAGTGTCAACAGAGCTGTATCTTATTACTTCGCTGTGCTTCTGTATGTTTGCGGCAAGTTGTCCGAATCAGATATTTTTTTTTTATATATATATTATATATATATATAATAATAATATATATAGTGAAATTAGTATTAAGTACAATCATTACGCAGAGGCAACTGCAAAAATGGCGAGTGGGTCCGAAGATTTATTTAGAGGACTATTACAAAGAGTTTTTGTTTTCTTTACTGCCTCGTTTGCAAAATGATATCCGGAATTATAAATCCTACCATTAGTCACACTCTCCCTAATCTTGTTCCAAATTTTCAGTTTAATAAATACTTTTTATTCATCCACTCAAGACAATACAATTTTTTAATTGTAGGGGATGACACTAGATGTAATCCAGCTTTTCACATATTAAATTTTTTAAATTTTTAATTTAAAAAATTCTGCTTGTATTTTAAGGTTTTTTAATTTTTTATTATTATTTTATTTATTTTTTTTTATTTTTTTATTTTTTTTTATTTTGGGGAGGGGGGTTGACCTAAGTAGAAATTGACTTTAGCTTTTTTTTTATATTACTTGTCTTTTAATTACTTCAGGATGAGTATCGATCAATTTGACAGACTTGCAGGCTTTATATTGGATGAAAATTAGGGTTTATGAAATTGGTTTGGAATAAAGCATATAAAGAGAAGTAAATTAATTCCCTTTATATACACCATGTACCATATAATAAAATCAACTTCATATTTTTTAAACTTCCCCCTCCCTTGGTCCGCTTGTTTATGTGTGGGAGTACATGTAAAGGAATCTGTGTAATAAGTAAAGCATTCTATAATTTGATTATTTTCTATATATTATATATAGCACACATACATAGAAGAGAAAGTTCATTTATTAAATTTCTAAAGTATGGTGTTTTTAAAATATTTTTAGCGCAATGTGACCAATGAAAAAACTCTCAAAGAGTGTTGTGCCTGTAAATGAACAAAACCCAAAAAAAAAATCTGAAAGCTTTCAGCTTTTTTTCTTTTTATTTATTTTAATTTAGAATGAGGTTCAAATTTTGGACAGTTTATGAGAAATTATGTGGATAAAATAGCAATAAAGTAAAAAAAAGAGATATATAACAAGAGAGATAAATAGGGGTTAAGGTTTACTAATGATTTCTTATTTGCAGTGCCACATTTTTAAACTAAATTAAAAAATAATAATGAATAAATAAGAAAATAAAAATAAAAACAATAATAATAGGTAAAATAAGAATATAATGATTCATGATTAAGTATAAGAAACAAGTTTCAAAATGAGAAAAGAACAACAATGAATTACACTGCTACGGGTGAGGTTCGAACTCACCACCTTTCCATTTGCAGTCCAGCGAGCTGATCACTCAGCTATCTGTGATAGCAAAGCTTCTAAAAAATAATGTAACAAGTAGAAGTCACTGCAAAGGTAATTTAATTGATATTCAATAAATGATTGCCATATGACCCAAGTTGTAACTTTCCTTCAAAATTTCATAATAGTATTGTATTGAATACTCTTTCACAGTCAACTGCTTTATTTTAAAAGTTATGTTGCTGAAGTTAGTTTTTGGTGTATTTAATATTGGGATATTTATAGAGCTTTTTATTACACATGATATAGCAAATATTTAAAATAATTATGAAGAATTTTGTAAGGCAAAAACTTTGATTTCGTAGAAACTGTAATTTATTTAGGTTCCTATTACTTACGGTGTTATAAACAGGTGAAGGATATAGATATACTGGTTGGGTCATTGTTTTATAAATATATAGTCAAATTTTGGACAGTTTATGAGAACTTATGTGCAGGATAAAATATGCAATAAAGTAAAAATAAAGAGATAATTTATACAAGAGATGCAGATATATCATTACACAAGGGTTTAATGTTTACATAATGATTTCTTTGAATCATTATGCAATTTCCTTAAATGAGAATTTGGAATTTATACCAATATATATGGTTTGAGAAATCTGAGAATGCCATGAACAATGCTGATCATTTTATTGCTGTATAGTTATGATATTTCTAAGCCAAATCTCATCTGGGTGTGGTTCTGACGCCATATTGAAACGGGTAAGCAAGAAGATTTTCCGATTACGACACGTGATAAGAAGTTGGTTAGCTACTGGCTGTTCGCTCACGTTACGGATGTAAAAGCTGAACAGGAGAGAACTCAGTTTTACGTTTTCTGTGTAACGGAAATTTATGCCAGCGAAAAAAAAATTGTGTCAACTACATCGCGCGAGCATACTCATGTGGACGGGCCTTGACTGAATGACTATTAACTGACTCACTCTTGTATGTACTCTTTATATAGCTTTTCTCTTGTATTCAAGACCATTCTGGGCCAAACCGGTAAGAATTTGTTCCAAAAGGTTCTCCATCCGTCTATGGCATGGTGCCAATTTTGGCAAGAAATCGCCAAGGCAACTCTGCCCTTTCCTTGTTATTTTCTGGAAACCACAAACCTGCTTTGTGGGAAAGCTATCTTACCGCAGCTGGACATTTCGTAACACTGCCCCCTCCCAAGAACTGCATGTCCCGGGCAGTACAATCCTTGGTCAGAAGCCAAATTCAATACAAACAAATAACCAAAACAAATATTTACACTATGTACACATTACATATACAAAATAACCACATAACAATTTTAAATTACATAAATTAACATTCAGAATGAATTTCAGTCTCGGGCTTTTCATTAAGTTATATCCGGGTCAAGTACTCTTTCATTGCAGTTCTCAGATGTATTTCTGTTTTGCATTTCATAGTCTGGAGATTCAGTCCTTTCATATTTTTCATTCACAGGAAGATCTGAAACAGTTTGTTCACCACTCTGTAGTTTATTCGCATCAAGTGTACAGTTCATCTCGCTACTTTTAGTAGTTGGTACACTCTTATTTCCCTCTATTTCTTGAAAAACAGTTCTGATTTTTTAATTAGACTTATGAATATAATCCAGGTCTTTACAAACACAGGTATCCTGGTTTAGAATCAAATCCATATTTTTACATCTTGTATTATGGGACACTTAGTTTGTGAAATCGGTGTATTATCTTGCTATACTAGAACACTCTGCTTGAGCTGCAAATCAGCTTCTCCCATCTCAGCATCACATGCATTTTCAGATGGTTCAATACTTGGTAGCTGCGATTTCGTAACTTCACTATCAGTTTCTACCAACATAACAGTAACATTTTCACATTCTTCCACTTCTATGTCACGCACTTGAGAATCAAAAGCTTCTTTTCCATCTTTTATTTCTTCATGTTTTATTTCTTTTTCTTTAATCCTGTAAGATATTTCACCCATCATTTCTTGTTCTTTTTCAGATACTTCACCAGCTACTTCATTCATTTCTTTATCATTTGATTCTTCAGATGCCACTTCTGTCATTTCCATATCTTTGTTTATGGCTCCAGTTTCTTTGGTAAGCTCAACTTTCACCTGCCTAGCAGCTTTTCTTGGCCAACTTTTATTTCTTCTTGTCCAGCTTTCACCTCAGCCTTCATCTCTTCCAGTCTTGCTCTTAAAGCTGCTAAGAAGTCTGTGAACTTCATTTCCACTGCCATGGCTTTCTCCTGCAGGCAGGTCACTGGTATTTCTGGTATTCACTTGCAAAGCCCACTTCTGACAC